AGGAAAAAAAAGAATTAAGGTGCTTGCCTTGTATGCAGTCAATCCCAGTTCAATCCCTCACACTGCGTATGACCTGGTAGCACTGACTCTTGAGTGGCTCCTAAGCATGGCTAGGCATGAGGTCAGAGCGACAGTACAGCTGGTAGGGTGTTTGTTTGCCTTGCACGAGGCCGACTCAGGTTCAATCCCTGGCATCCCATAAAGTCCCCTGAGTACCACCAGGAATAATTCCTGTATGCAGAGCCAGGAATAACCCTGAGCATTGCTGGGTGTGACCCAAAAAGTTCTCCCACACCCAAAAAAACCCATGGTTGGGTGTGGCACGAACTGCTTCCTTACTTTCCCCCCACCAAAAAAAAAACAAAAAACAAAAAGCAAAAAACCAACACTGTCCTCCATTGTTCATCGATTTGCTTGAGTGGGCCCAGTAACGTCTACATTTTGAGACTTCTTGTTACTGTGTTTGGCATATTGAATACGTCATGGGTAGCTTGCCAGGCTTTGCCGTGTTGGCGAGATACTCTCGGAAGCTTGCCAGACTCTCCGAGAGGGGCGGAGGAATTGAATCCGGCTCAGCCGGGCTGGCTGCGTGCAAGGCAAATGCCCTACCGCTGTGCTATTGCTCCAGCGCCCCCCCCCCCAAAAAAAAACCACAAAAGTTATAGAATAGTAGTCATAGAGATAGACTTAGACAGATTTTGGAATTGGAGGTAAAGTTGGCCTGAATTCCCTGTGGGTTAGATGCAAGAACAGAGAAAAGAATTATGAACGCCTACATTGCCTTTCAGTCTGAGCAACTGATACCCGGTGATGACATTTCATTTGAAGAAAGTTGAAAGAACCAAGAGTTTTGTCTCCCATATTATTTTATTTTCCTCGCACACTATTTTGCTCCTTCCCTACACCTTTATTTTCCTTCTCTAGTTGTTCTTTAGTCCTTGATACCCCCTAAAATTTCGCTTCGCACCCTGATTTGAATCCACTGCAATCTGGTTACCATCCCCAAATCCCAATAACTCCTCCTTGCCAACCACAACAATGACCTCCTTGTTGTCAAGCCAAGGACTTTCCAGACCTTGTTTTTTCTTGACCTTTCTTTAGCATTTAATACTGTTGACATTTCCTCCCTTGGCTACTCTAACACCACTTGTTCCTGGTTCTCCTACTTCTTTGAATGTTCTTTCCCTGCGTCTTTGTTTCTTCACCTTTTCTGTGTTGGCATCCTTACAGCGTTCCAGAGCAGGCCCTTTTATGATTCTTCCACTACGGCTTTTATCTTGGGCATCAACTTTCATCAACTATCACTCACTCAAAGGACTTCTAGTATAATCTCTCGAGTTCTAGACTCTTCTGTTCAAGGACGTAGTAGACAGTGTCACTTTGATATCATCAACCTATGGTTCCTGCAGTTCTTACCTTGGTGAATGGTTATTACCATCTTGTCATTTACCTAAACCATTTCCGCTTTAGTCCTTAATCCTACAGATACAATAAAAAATAAAAATCAGTAGGTTCTATATCCGTAATGTTTTTTTTAATCTGTCTCTTCCCTTCCTTTCCATTCTTGCCACCTTAGTTTGTATGTCCACCATTTCTTTCTTCACACATGAAAGTAAGTTAGTTTCTCTGCTTGCAGTGTTATTCAGTCAATTCATTCTCCAAACTGGAGTCATCTTTCTAAAATGGGCATCTGATCACTTCATTGCATTCCTTAAAATTTATCAGTGACTCTTCATTGACATTAGGAAAACTGAAACTTAGGAAGACACACAAATCTACTGACATTACGGCCTTGCTGATTTTTCTGGTTACATTCCTGAGCACTGGGAAGCACTCACAATATATTTAGCTGGAATTTACTATTTTCTAGGCATTGACTGTTCTTCCTCCACATCTTTCTGAACATACCTATTTATCTCCAGGACTTTACACCTAGCTCTTGCCTTGCTTGAAAGATACTTTAATTGATCCACTTGTTTTGCTAATACTCAACTTTTAGAACTCATCTACAAATTCATCTTTCCTGGGGGCAGGGGACGTGACTCAGTGGTAGAATACATGACTTGGATATATGCCTGGATTTGATCCCCAGCACCACATATATAAAAATCACCTGTCTGGTTAGGGACCCTGACAGTGCCCAGTGTTAGATCTGAGTCCCATGTTGGTATCATCTCACTACTGGGTGGTTAACTGTGTATTCCTCTTTTGCCTAGTTCTGCTATGATTAGGTCATTCTAAAAAGGCCACTTTAGATTCACCTTCGAATTTCCCTTTGCCTACCACAATGCTGGACACATAACTTTTATTTTCTATATGTAATTCATATGTAATATAACATATAAAAATGATTAGATAGGCAAAGTTGGGTTTCAAAATCAAGTCTTTTATCTCTGGCAGAAATCTCACATTTCTCTATGCTACTTTTTTATTTTTTAACATCTTGAATCTGAAAATTTTGAAAATCTTTGCCAGATCTATTTCTGCCTATCACTAACTAAAGTACAAATAAACATTTTTAAAAAGCCTCAGTTATCTTGTAGATGGTGCTTCCTTATCATTCTCCCATTTAACTCATCAAAATACTTGGGTTCACTGAATTTATACCGGGTAGACCTTTCAATATATTTTTATATCCTTTCCTGCATCTTAACCTGTGTCTTCCGCGATGCTGCCAAGGGAGCAAAGAGAACTACATTGGGAGTAAGGTAGATTTTATTTTTCTGGCAGCTGACACTAAGAAATAATGGTGCGAAGGCAGTTCATTTCATAGTATTTTTACCTCTGGCATATTTCTGGAGAGGTATGAACATTTCAGTATTACACTTAAACTTTGTATAATCCAGATACAATTGGAATTTTTTTTTACATGGAGAGTTCAATATAATCGCAGAATTTTGTAACTGAAAGGAGCCTGAGAGATCTTTTCACCCAGCACTTGCACGAAGTTTCCATGAAGAAAAGACCTTGCTGGTTCTCCCCCAGCCATCCGGGCTCTAAAACCAGAAGCAAATTTCGTGGTGTCCTGTCCTCTGAGCTTTTCTCAACACATTTTATTTTCCACTTAAACAAATCAGCTACATCAGAACTCACCTAGTTATTTACATAATGCTTATCTTTCTATTGCCTTAGTGATAGGCTTATTATAGGGAGGAAGAAAAAGGAAGAGAAAAAAGAAGCAAGTCTGCCTTGTCCAGGGACATAAGGAGACTTGGTGAAAGGAACAATTAAGAGACAAAGTGATGGACTTCTGTTTGCAGTGCAGTCTTGTAATCACACTCTGTTCTCTGAGAGCCCCAACGCTAACCAGGCTTATTTGTCCTCCTGGGGCCTGGATCCCATTCAACTCTGCGCCTTATTTAGTCTTAATGATTTCCCCAGCTTCGGTGTGTATTTTTCTGTGCTTCATTTTAGAAATATCATATGTAAATCTACTCCCTGCTTGAGTTTGTTTTAGTTCTGAAGCGGAGGGACAAAGAGTCTGGGTAAAAGAAGGAGGAGGAGGGATTTTTCTGGGCTTTCCATTTCAAGAATGGTTTTTCTGAAATGGCAATCTGCAGTCCACTCCTCAAAAGATGAGGTTTTGCATAGGAATTAGGACTCATTTGGGATGATTTGTTTTCACGAACAGCAGAGAGTTCTTTCCAAGAGGACCAGTTTGATAATATTTTAGCAGCCAGTGCTCGAGACCAAATATAAACGAGTTCTGAGAAACAGGAAGTGAACCTGACTGGTCTGGTCTGTGCGTCCCTGGCAGTGACGCACATACAGAAATCAAATTAGGAAAACAAGGTATGTGGGTGCGAGGCCATGGATAACAATGCAGGATGCTACAGCCCAAGTAGGAACGCTTCTAACCAAATGCCATTCATTTTAATAACACCAGGAGAAGTTGGATTTCCACAGAACATGCTAGAGATTAGAGAGCAGGATGAGCTAGAGTTCCCTAGCAACGGCCTGTGCTTTTGAGACAGTCATTAGCCTTTCCGTTAATCCCGCCAACCCCTTACTGTTAAATGTATGATTGACATTAAAAAAAAAAAAAGGAAAAAAAAAGAAAAAAATGCTTTAGAAAATGCTTTAAATGTTTCAGGAGCAGAATGGAAAGGGATAAAAGAAAAAAAAGAAAGAAAATTGCCCTGAGAATTGCCCTCAGTTAAAAGCATTCGTGGTCCTCAGCGCCCAGCCTGTCCCGTTAGGTTGCTAATCCCCCCAGGGTAACGCCTAAGGGAGGTGGAATTGCTCAGTGGAAGGCAAGTCCCTCATCCAGTCTGAGGCTCGAGTGTGACGTCTCATCTCTCAGAACCACAGTGTGAAGTGGAGGGGGGGGGCGGTGGGCGAGTGATGAATATGGGCAGTTTGTGGGGGAGCAGCGGCTGGATGGAGGGGAGGTAGGGTAGGAGAGAATATAACATATAGTTTCCTTTCTCCTTTAAATGGGTTTAATCACCCTGCCCGGGAGCCCGGGAAAGGAGGGAGGCGGGGGGGGGGGGGCGGCGGAATTCTTTTTCCTATTGATTGTTTAATTGCACCAGAGGCTGTTTGTCCGAGGCCGCTGGCCAACAGCATTATTTTCGAGGCGAAAGTGAGACTGGGCAGGTTTCCCATCCCCTTTCCCTAGTGTTAAACAAGACAATCCACAGAGCGCAGCCAGACGACAGGAATAAGGTATAGGTTGACTTCTGCGACTCGGCTGAACCCCTCCGAGCGCCGGGAGTGACTGCAGGGCGCTTCTCCAAGCCAGAATCAGTGCCTCTAGCTCGGGTCCGGGGTTCGGGACTCACCACGCCCGTTGGGGGGAGCCCGGCTCGAGCTGCGGGGAGATTCGAATGGAAATTACTAGGGCTCCTCATCACGGCTCGGCTCCCCACTCCGCTCTCCACTGGGCTCCTTCAGTTTGGGGGGTGGGGGTGGTCTCCTAGGACTCTCCGCCTCCCCGCCACCCCTGCCCCGCTGCGCGCTCCCCTTCCCCAGGCGACCACCTGCGCCGCCCCACTTACCATCTGCCCCGCGGGGAGGGCCCCCCGAGGTAGCGGAGCCCTCCCTGCTCCCGGGCGGCTCTGGGGGAGCTCGGTGTTTGCCTCCAGCCCTTCGCTACCGGAGAGATCAGGTTCCTCCCCTCCTCCCCCTCCAGCTCCGGCCGCCGCCGCCGCCGCCGCCGCCGCCTCCTTGCATGACACAGCAGAACCGCAGCTGCTGCAGCAAGTCCCAACCATCCGCCCAGGAAGCGCCGCAACCGGGAGTCGGGAGGGGCCGGGGCCGGGGCGAAGGGGTGGGGGGGGCGAGGGGTGGAGAGGGCGAGGGGCCTCCTTGCCCCCCACTTGGCGCTCCACACTCCCCTTCCCAGCTCCCGGGTTCGGGAAGCGGATCCGGCTCAAAACCCCAGCAGGCCGAGCCGTTGAGGAATGCTGGGGCTTGGCATCAGAAAAGGATGGGACTGGGAGGAGCGGGGTGAAGACCCCAGTGGGGGGGTGGGGGTGGGGGCAGCAGGACACTGCAGGCAAAGAAGGGGAAGAAGAGGCCACGAAGTCCAGGGCCAGTCTGTGAAGGAGAATTAAGGAGGTCAAAGAGGTAAGAAGGTAGAGTTGCCGAGACGCGGAGGGAGTCAGCACTGGGGAAAGAAGGGGGGGGGGGGAAGGGGAGGGCGAAGGCGGCAGGGGAAGCTTGGGGAGGGGGTAGAGTATTTGGGGGAGGTCTGAGTTAAGCACTGGGGCTGAAAGGGGGCTGAATTGGGAGGCCAGGGTAGGAGAAGGGTTGGAAAAGGTGGGTTAAGGAGTAGGCAGCCAGGTGGGGAGGGGGGACATATGGAATTAAGAAGGGAGCAGTGAAAATCATTTATCATGGCTGATGAGGCCGGAGAGACAGGCCAAGGCAAAGTCACAGGCGAGGCTGAGCTACTGCCCCACTCCAGTTTCTCCTGAAGTTTTCATGATTCGCCAGCGCAAGCAGGGAGTTCGTCTTATAAATCGCAAAGCAGGAACTAACCCATTAAAAAAGGAATAGAGAAGAAAAAGAAAAAAAAAACCATCTCTTGGGTAATAGACTTGCAGGACAAAATCTTCCAGGGGCATAAAAACTTGGAAGGCAGAGCTTTGAGATATAAGGCATAAGCCAGGAAAAGGGGGGGGGGGGAGTGTGGGTGTTGTGATTCCATAATAATTCAGGAATAATAGCAGTCGAACTGATGTTGCTTTTGCCGCACGTCACTGGGCCCAAATCCTTCTGAGCTGTGTGTTAAATGCTTCTGTCATGCTAGAAATGATGCAAAATTATTGGTTCAAGATATTTTCTGTGCATGCACAAGGCGATTCACATAGGTGAATGGTATGATGAAGGTAGAAAATGTGTTTTTCTGGTTATTTTGTTTCTGGGCAAACATACTACGTATTTTACAGCTGACTGACCAGCTGTTTCTCAGCATTTGAAAGACTGTGGTCAGAAAAGTAATGCAAAAACTGCCACTTTGGTTTTGTCTGTACCTTCCAGGTCGTCTCTTCCTACCTCACTTCCTGACACAAACAAGTTTTTACCGTTGTCAGCAACAAAGCCTTAATATAGCTGCGGAAGAGAAAAAACTGCATTGCATTTTGCCTCCTGCAAGCATCATCCACAGTTACCGGAGGAATGTAATTCCAGAGAGCTTTAAAGCTGGTGGTGAGGGTAATTATGTATCAAATGCTTGATTCTATTTCTGCTATTATTGTTTTGTCATTTCTGTTCACCCCAGTGCTGGCTGAACTCGTCGAGGGACAAATCCGGTTTTTTTTTTCCGACTCTGTAAAATCTAATCAGACCTGATAGAAAACTCATTGCTTTTGGGGGAAAATAAAGTAGGAGCCACGAAATGTCATTTTCACAGAGCGTGGGTTTGGTGACTGTAGGGAAGGATTTCAGGATGCTCCTTCTGTTCGCTTTTCCTATGTAATGAGCAAAAAAGGCTTCACGCACGCACCGACGCCACAGCGCCCGGATGCTCTGCTCCCCGATCTGGGCTTCTGCTGCGCCAGAAGCCCCTCCGGGATGCTGCGAGGGGCGCCCGGTGGGTGGTGGTGGTACCGACGCTGCGGCCGCCGCCAGTCCTGCTGCTGCTGCTGCTGCTGCCGCCGCTGCTGCTGTTGTTGCTGCTGCAGTCACGTGGGAGCCCCTTTAAGTTTCCATAGAGAGGCCTCTCCGGTGTCACATGATGGACATGATATAATGAAACAACATTGTGGAGAGGAAAGCATTAGGGGAGCCCACGGCTACGAAAACAAGTGAGTGAGAAGAGGTGGGAGGAAGAGAAACTACGCCACCTCCCTTGCAGCCGAGCCGGCGCGCAGCAGCGGGGCCCCCCGAGCAGAAGTGGGCGACGCCAGGAGGGGACCGAGGTGGGGAAGGCGGGGGTGGGTGGGTAGGTGGGTGGGGGCGCCGGGAAACCGGGGGGGTCCTCGGCTTGGGGCTGGCGTCCCCCGCCGCCGCCGCCGCCCACCCAGCCACCTCGGCGAGAGAACAACTTTTCTCCGGCGGCGCCGCCGGCTCGGCTCTGGCTGCACCTGTCTCCCTCGCCCGCCGCGCTCCCGGCGATCAGCCCGAGGGACGTTCTAGAAGAATTCGCTCCACGAATCTCCCTGCGCATCCTTTTCCCCCTGGCGGGTCTGGCTCCCGCGGAAGCGAAGAGAATCGGGATCGGAGCGGCGGCCGCGCTGCGATGCCCCCCCCGACCCCACCACCACCAGAGGTAAGATGGGGAGGGGGAAGGAGGGAGCGTGGAAACGGAGATGGGGAGGGGGTGATGGTGGTGGGAGATGGTGTTGTTGCGGGGTGGGGGGGAGCCAAGGCCCCTCGCAGACGGGGGCCCCCCGGCGGGCTCGGCATTTCCTCCTGCGCACGCCCCGCATTGCCAGCTTTCGCGCTCGCGGGGCCCGGGGTGGTGGGGGGGGAGCGCGCGGAGGGCAGAGGAGAGCCCCCGCTTCCCCGAGGCGAGGTCGCCCACCCAAGGGTGCTCGGGGCACTTTTTTTTTTTTTTTGCCTCCCCCAGGGCTGTGAGGTGGTGGCCCGGCTGTCACACAGGGCTCCTCGGGAGCTGCTGCCGGCTGGAGAGCGTGGTTTTTTTTTTTCCCTCCCCAATGTCCGCATTCCAGCTAATGTTGCGCAGATAAAATTCAAACTTGAGGTAAACAGAAGAGGAGGAGGAGGAGGTGGAGGAGGAGGAGGAGGAGGAGGAGGAGGAGGAGGAGAGGGGAGGAGGGACGAGGTGGGGGGGGAACTGTTTCCATTTCGAGATCCCACCTCTTCACTCCGCCGAGCCCAGCGTCCCGCACCTCGAGAGCGCTCGCTCCCTTCTCCCACGTCCCCCCCACCCCCCACCTTGGCTGCCGACGAGAAATCAGGCGAGGTGCGGGGCGGCGGGCAGCGTGGGGGGGGGGGCAGGGGACGCCGGAGGGAAACGGGCGGCGGGCGGTGGGGTGCGGGGGGGGGGGAGGACCGCTGCGGGGAAGAGGACGCGGCGTCAGAGGATGGACGCCCCTGGCCTGGGGCCGGCTCCCTCTTTAGTGTTTATTCTTCTTAGGATTAGGAATTATTTTCCTCCTCCTCCTCCTCCTCCTCCTCCTCCTCCTCCTCCTCCTCCTCCTCCTCCTCCTCCCCGCGCTCAGAGGGACGGAATAGGATGCCTGGGATGGGGTGCTCCCACCCACCCCCCATCCCACCCCGCAACCCCCGGAGGACCGCGCTCCCGGGCGGGGCGAAAAACGGGGGTGCGGGTGCGCCCGCCGCCCCCCCCCCGCGCTCCTCGCTTACTTTCGGGGGAGCGGAGCGTGTCGCGCCCAGCCTCACCCCACCCCACCCCACCCCACCGCACCCCACCCCACCCCACCGCGGGCGCAGCTTCCCCCCCCTCCCACCCCGCGGACGGGGGAGCGAACCCCAGAGGCTGGGGACCCGGGGGGTGGTCTCCGACTGCGTAGCAGGTGTGCAGAGGGGGCGCATCGCGGTCTGATTTCGGAAGTGTGGCATTTGGTGGCACCACCACGTCGGGGGAGGGAGGGGGGGCGAGAGGACGGGGGTTTGGTGGTCTTGTCGCGGAGAGTGCCTGCTGTGGGGGGGGGGGCGCTGAGTGGCGGCGTCTTTCCCTCCCCCTCCCCCAGCAGCACCCCGTTTCGCTAATGAGGCGGGGGGGGGGAGAAGACCTTCCCCCATCACCACACCTCCAGCCCCCCGCACCCCTGCTCGGCCCGCCCTGGGGGGGGGGGGTTGGAGGTGGCCGTGGGGGTGGGGGTGGGGGTGGAAAGGTCGGAGGCAGTTCGCCGCCCGGGGCTCAAGGGTGACCGCGGAGAGGACTGTGAGGGGACGCGCAGCTTCGTCATGATGTGCGAACGGGGCTTCTGACAGCTTGGAAAGAGCCGCTCGGCCTCCCCCCCCCCCCCACCACCACACACACACACACACACACACACACACAACTCCCGGGCGGAAGATGTGGGTCGGGGTGTGCGTGTGTGTGCGTGCGTGCGTGCGTGTGTGTGTGTGTGTGTGTGTGTGTGTGTGTGGAAGGTGGGTGGGTTTGGCCCGCTCCGGCTCCCAGGGTGGTTGCGGGCCGAGATCGGCATCCGTGGAGGTGGGGGGTCGGGGCCGGGGGTCGGGTGGTCCCTCTCAGAAGTGCGCCCGGTGGCCGGCGGGGAGTTGCCGTGGCTCGGAGGCGGCGGCCACGTGAGGCGGTTTGAAGGGGGGCGGGGGGGTCTGCGGAAGCGCCGGAGCCGAAAAGATGAGGTGGTGCTTGCTTGGGGGGGGGGGGGTTGGTTGGTGAAGTGCGTAACAGAGTCGTGACGGGGCTGACACGCAGCCCGGAGCAGCGCGGCGGGGCGGGGGGGGGGGTGGTGGTGGCCGTGGCCGTGGCGGTGGCCGGGGCGCGCTCAACTCCACCCGCCCCCCAACCCCCCACCCACCCCGCGCGCCCGCCCGCCCGCCCGCCCGTTCGTCCGCTCGCCCGGGCGGCCCGCTCCAGCCGTGGCGACGGTTTTAATTCCGCTCGAGCGCCGGCTGCGCGCTGGGCGCCTCCCACGCCGGCCGGGCGGCCGTCCCGGACGGGCGCGGGTGGGGGCGCCCTCGCGGGCCGCTCCCGGGAGAGCGTTTCCGGGCGGCTCCCCAGGCCAGGAGCGAGGGCTGTAAACAGGGTGGCGCCCTCTGCCCTCCGCCCCCGGGCTGCCGGGGCGCGCGCGGCTCAGGCGCGGCGGCCGCGGCGGCGGCGGCGGCGCTGGCGCTGCTGACGGGGACGCGCCCGCCGCCCCCGCGCGCGCCCCCGTCGCCGGCTCGGGCCGGCCCGCCGCGTCTGTTTTTGTTTTGATGGGAGCCCGCGTGCAGCTGGCGCGTGTCGCGTCACGTGCCGTGGGCGGGCAGGCGGAGGGGGTGGGGGTGGGGGCGGGGGCGCCCCGGGGGGCCGCGGGGGGGAATCGGGGGCGACGGCAGCGAGCGCGCTTCTCTCGGACGGG